CCCCTACCTTTCCATGCATTCTGTGCTTCATTTGGGAGCATTTAAACTGGACCAACTTTATCCTCCCCCCCACCCCAAATTTTCTTTGCATTTCTGAAGTGCCAGAAGATATGCTGGAGACACAAATTAGCAAGCCAACAGAAATGAAAAGTCAGACCCTGCACAGGAACCTCCATTGATACAGGGCAACTAGTGGAAACTCCATGTTCAGAGGCAGTATACCTCAGCTGCTGGGGACAAGCCCAATGAGGTGCCCAACACTGTCATGCCCTCCTTGTGAGTTTCTGGAAGCACTTAGTCAGAGGTTAATCCAATGCTGAATTAGACAGATCCCCTTCCCCAGCATGGGATTTCATATGCTATCAGTTGAGTCAGTTCTGATCCTTAACCAGGACTGACAACAAAGGGGAACTGGGGGGACAAAATTCGGGGGGGGGGGAGAAGCTAAAGCAGCCCTGAAGCCAGCCTCATACTGCATCCACCCAAGCATCTTTCCATGTATTTTAATGCAGTTCTGGCAGCAGCCACTAGGGGAACAGGGAAGGTCCGAGCACAGTAAAAGGCACTCTAGTTATCAGTTGGACTTCCCTTTCTACAAGACTGAAGCAAACTTGCCTTACAGATCATGCTAAATACATCAACTAATTCAGCAATGGGGCAAGACAAGCAACCCTGGCTGATGGCTGCTACTCTGTCAGCCTATAGCCTGCTAACCAAAGTCATTTTCTACAATAGTCTAGCTTTTCTCTCTACTTTTCTTTGCACTCTCCTCAGTCAGAGTGGTAGTTAGGGTGTTGCAGCAAAATAAAACAACCTTTCCCTCTCTTTTTCTTAATTTCTTTCCCTCTTTCCCACATTTTTCTCATTCATTTCTATCTCCCTTCGCCTAATTTTTCTCTCTCCCCCCCCCCTTGATTTTCATTTCTTGGTCTCAAAATCTTTTCATCCCTATCCTTCTTGGTGACAGAATGCACTTAAGAATAGTGTAGTGGCAAACCTTTTGTTAATATTACAAACAGAAGGGGGGAAGGGTTAATATTTCCCCATGATCTAAAAAAGTAGTAAAAGGATGCTTCCTCCCTCCTCCACCCTTCACATGCATGGTAATGGAGCACTGATCTATTTTAGTGGTTATACATGTAGAACAGAAGAGTCAGGCGCTGGGTTGTTAATCATTATTCTACTGGTGGAAGATCTAATAGCTCTTTAGAAAGACTACTTTGCTGTATGACAAATGATAAAAATCTAATTTTAATGATATCTAAAAGATTACAACAAATATAATATCCAGTCTTTCTCCCCAATGGGGACCCAAAGCTCCTGTCCTCCCTTTTATCCTCACAACAGCCTTGTGAGGTAGTACTGGCTGAGAGTGTATCATCCAGCAACCTTCCATGGTGGGTTGGGGATATGAGTTTTAGAGACACATCACAGGTTGCTTAAAAGCTCACTTATTATATGTTATCTGTCATGAAGATAACCTGGTTCAGGGTATAGTGGTTCAGGAGAGCCAGTTTGGTGTAGTGGTTAAGGGCGTGGACTCTAATCTGGGAGGACCGGGTTTGATTCCCCACTCCTCCACTTGCACCTGCTGGATGACCTTGGGCAAGCCATAGTTCTGGCACAGTTCTTGAAAAAGAGCAGTTTCTGTCAGAGCTCTCTCAGCCCCACCTACCTCTCAGGGTGTCTGTTGTGGGGAGGGGAGGGGAAGGGAAAGGAGTTTGTAAGCCGCTCTGAGACTCCTTTGGGTAGTGAAGGGCGGGGTATAAATCCAATCTCTCCTCTCCTCCTTCCCTTCGTTTTTGGCACTGTAACTTCCATCATCATTCTGGAGTTAGTGGCCAGTTTTCAAACCTGTGGCATTATTTTCTGAGTTATGCCTGCCACAGAGACCCTTACCTTCAATTGCAAATAGCACAGTGTGGTGGTGGTTTGCCTCACCTGGGCCAGGATTTTCCCATGCCTTTCAATTTTGGCCAAGGAACTCCCACAATCATCCTGAAGCTGGTGGCCAGTGTTGAGTCTCCTAGGTTTACTCTCTGATGAGTTATCCCTGCCTGTGGGGTGTAGTGGTTAAAGTGTCAGACTAAGATCTGGGAAACCCAGGTTCAAATCCCTACTCTGCCACAGAAGCTTGCTGGGCGATCTTGGGCCAGTCACATGCTCTCAGATTAGTTTTAAAAGGAAATACAGAATCATGGGTCTTGATTGCAACAATGGCATGGGCTTTTCCCAAGGGCCCATTTCTGCAATCAAAATCCCCCCCACCCCAAACTGTTTTCCCACCAAATTTTGAGTGCGTCGTCAGGGTTTCCATATATAAAATACTGTTGGGGGGGGTTTAATGTACTTACAGTCGGATGTGTTTTAGAAAAGGTAGCATATAGTACTCATACTGGATTTATTGGGATGAAGACTGAAACGGGAAAACTGATCTTACCAAAGTCATTCTGTATCTGAAGACCAGAGGGACAGGGTTATATGATACAGAAAAGCAGGAAGAATAAAACTCTCATAGAACGGAAGACCTAGAAGGAAAAGCTAGCAAAGCTAAAAAACCCAAAATGTTTCCACGTCTATTTTGAGCTGCACTTCTGCTTTTCGTACCAGGAGAAGCTTTGGAAGAGACACAAGAAATTATTTAAAACCTCCACTGTGAACAGGGAAGAAAAAGATTCTCCGATATGCATGGAAAAGCTCTATATAAAGATTCCCCCCCAAAAAAAAAAAGTTATGGGACCACTTGAAACAATCAGTGATTGCTAGAAGCAGTTTTGGCATCAGGCTACCATTTCAGGCTACAGACCCTGGAACTCACCTGCCAAGAACAAGAACTCCAGCAGTAGAACAAAGTTTGAGTCCAGTGGCACCTTTAAGACCAACAAAAATTTATTCAAGGTTTCATTCAAAGTTTCGTTCAGGGCTTTTGTGAGTGCTCATGAAAGCACATCCCTTGAATAAAACGTTGTTGGTCTTAAAGGTGCCTCTGGACTCAAACTTTGCTCTGCTGCTTCAGGCCAATACAGCTGCCCCCCTGGATCTAAAAACGGCAGCAGTAATTCTATGCACATTTATTTAAGAATGTCCCATAGAGTGCTGTGGGGATAATAGAACCAACTTATGCAAAGTTATTGCCCGCCTAAGCTGATTGATTTCAAATGGCTTTGGCTGCAGTCTAAGGCCACTTCCATACTGTCCCGTTAGACTCAGGGCCGGCTCCAGCTTATTTTGCACCCTAGGCGAGGATCCCTTCTGCCCCCCCGGTGCACCCACCAATTTTCAAAAATAAATGCATTTTAGGAAGAATGAAAAACACAAATAATCAAGAAACGGGGCCGGGTGCAGTTTGGTGCCCCTAAGGGCCGTCCCACTCTAGGCGATCGCCTAGTTCGCCTAGTGAGTGAGCCGGCCCTGCCATTAGTCCCTGTTGTTTTGGGTCCCCCTGCTCTTTTCCATGTGTTCTGCTCCCTCTGGGACTTCTAGAGAGAGCAAAGCACATTTTTTTGGGGGGGACCCTGAAGCAATAGGGACACGTGAATGATAAAACTCTGTGTAGGATTGCTCTCCGTGCATGCACAGGCTGACAGTGTTACAGAGATCCCAGCAGCCCATGAGAGATTTGTGTGTTGCTTTTAAAGCACAGGTCATCACAAAACACATCTCATAGCAAAGGAGCATGTCAGATCATAGAAAACTGCACCATACAAAGGCTTGCACACCTTGTTATCATAAAGGCCCCGTCAGTAGTAAACCCAGTCCAGATGGTGGGATGATATCATTGCTCATTTCTCTATCAGGTGGCTGTTGGGGTAAGAGGCAGTGAAGAGGCAGGACACATTTGGGCTCCTGCTGTGGGCCCCCTGATTGGAACCTGACCTGTCGCAGCTCCCACCTTGGCTGCAGCCACTCCCCACGCTCTCCAATGCTCCCTCTAAGCTGTGGAGTCTTGTGAGCAAACATTCTACTTTGTGAGCTCCTGGCATTAAAGTTGTGGGCAAGCGATTTGGCTACTGCATAAATTAGTTTGCTCTGGAGCCATCCTTCCCGAGCGAAGGCAAAAATGTGTGAGCCGGAGGCTAAAAAACTGTGAGCTGGCTCACATTAACTCACCTTAGAGGGAACAATGACGCTCTCCCTCTGGGCTTAGGCTGCTTTTGCACCTTTCCATCCCTGGGACGTTAGTTTCCAGTCTTCAGTGTAAGTTGGGGCACTGTCACATGTAAAAGTTAAACTGGATGTGGCTCAACCGCTTTCCCATCACCAGTGGAAAGCTGGGCAGAACCTATATGAACTTTCCCTGGCCCACACTAGCCTGCACTAACAATGCTTGACAAGTCTTTCCACTCAGAAGCTTAACACTGTTTGGACATACCATTTATGACTGATCTTCTTGATCTTGTTCACATGACAATTAAATCCAGTTGTCCTGGTGGGAAACATCCCAAATGCTAGTTTTAAATATGAGGACACCCCTGCATTGCCCACAGTGTGCATTCGAGTTCACTTGCACGCATGATGCAACACTCACCCGGGGTGCGCCTAACAGAGGAAGAGATGCTCAGACATGCTTCTTTCTAACACTGTGTGAGAAGTGCCTCGCTAGTCCCTTGAAAGGGGTGGAATTAAATCTACCCTCCTCTTTTTGCAGATCTCATGACGGCAGCTTGGTTTCCCCTTGTGCAGGGGCTCTGCCGCGCACCATAGAGTTAAAAGCAATTCCGTGGATGTTTCTGCCTCCACAATTCCCCCTTCGTTTCCCAAAAGTCACCTCCGGGACACGTTTGCAGGAAGGCTGAATGCCCTGCACCTGTGGCTGAACAGTGTCTGCCAGATTTCTGCAGCATTCTGCCTGCTACCTGAATTCTAAGCCCAGACTCTTCCATGCTGCCCCTCTCGGGGGATGCAAACTAGGTGCCAGTTGGGGGAACAGAGCAGGACTTTCCCCCACCTCTTCCCAGCCCTCGCCCTGGCTTTCCTGCTTCCAGGAAGCCTCTACTTACAAGGAAGCCAGTGCCCTTCGGAGAAAACAGCAGGGAGAGCCGCCCGGTGGACCCCTCGCTCCAGAGTGAGTTGATGAGGCAGGGCAGAAAGTCTAGCGGCGGAATGAAAGGAACCAGCTGCGGGACGAGCCTCTCTCACGCGAAGATTTCGCGGCGAAGTCCAGAGCCCCCGCCCCGCGCCGAAAGGGGGGCGCCCCGGGGGGGGGGGGGGGGGGGGAAATCTCTTGCACGCGCACGCGCGCGCACACCCTTTCCCAAGTCCTCCCCAGGCTCACAAGTCGAGTTATTACTCGAACGTCATAAATAGACCGCGAGGGGAGGGGGGCACTGGAGCTCCGGGTTGAGGGGGAAACCACTGCGGTGATGTGGCTGGTGGTGCAAGGGTCCCGATTTCAGTTCCTCATTCAGCCAAGAAGCTCCACTGGGTGAGTTCAGGACCAGTCACCTTTTCTCAGCCAAAGCTACCTCACAGCGTTGGAGTGAGGATGTAATGGGAAGGCAGATAGTGGAAAGCAAATTGATAGTGGGAGCCCATTGGAGCATATGGGGCAGCACCACTGTTCCCTCTAAGCTGAGTTAGTGTGAGCTAGCTCAGTTTTTTTAGCTTCCAGCTCACAGTTTTTTGTCTTAGCTCAGGAAAGAGGGCTCCAGAACAAACTAATTTATGGAGAAGCCAAATCGCTTGCTCACAACTTTAATGCCAGTAGCTCACAAAGTAGAATTTTTGCTCACAAGACTACACAGCTTAGAGGGAACATTGGGCAGCACCCCACGGACTCAGGCTGCCCCCCCCCCCACATCTGCCCTGCCTCCTTAGCAGGCAGACCAGGAGGTGGCACTGGCAGCCTATCCACCGAGTCCTGAATCCCCCCCCACAAGAGGCCCTGTAAGAACACCTTCCAGCTCTCTGCATCAGGTTGGGTGTTTTTGAAAGGGGAGCAGGGGAAGATGCAAAAAAAAGGGGGGGGGACCTCGTACTGAACATGTAGCTACTGACAGGTACTTGATCCAATGCAGAGTTCTGGGGGTTTTCTTTTCCTTCTTGTTCCCAGCACATCAAGGGTGCATCGTATCGTAGCTCACCACAACTCTGTGCTCATTGAAGCCAGCAAAGCACAGGATGCTTAGAAGCATTCTTCACGGGATCCAGAACTGTGGCCTGAAAGATTTTTTTAAACAACCATCCTGATGAAGAGTTCTGAAAAACTCAATCGTCTGCATGCTATTAATGGGGGGGGGGAGAGAGAGAAATATCTACTGTCCTTTCAGACTTTTCCCTAGCTCTGAGAAACTATTGTGTAGTGGGTTGCCGCATGGATGAATGATAGAGACTGGCATAGTGCATAGCACGCTTTATTAGTACACAACAAGAACAAGCAACAACGGCCGGCAGGCCAATTATATACACACCATGGGGACACACCCCTGGGTCCCATTGGCGGGTTTGAATCTCCCGCCACGGTCCCATTGGTTCCCCAGTGGAGGGACTAGGATCCTAGTCCCCACCCTGGGGACACACCCCTGGGTCCCATTGGCGGGTTTGAATCTCCCGCCACGGTCCCATTGGTTCCCCAGTGGAGGGACTAGGATCCTAGTCCCTGTTGTTATGCCGGGTCCAAGCTCAGAAGTGTGCGCTGGCCTCTGGTGGTGGTCAGCGGAGACAACATCCCTCCCCCCTTAGTCCGGACCCTACCCTATGTCACATAGTCTTTTAGGTACGATGGAGACCGTCGTACCCTATCTGACCGTCGGGGGGTTGGTGCCTGGACCTCCGGGGTTCTGACCTCCGTGCCGGGCCCTGGAAGTGGTGCTGGGGCCTCTGCTTCAGCCGCCTCCGTTTCCGGGGGCTCCGCTGCGACTGCCGGGGTTCGGGTGTCCTGATGCGGGCGCTCTTGTGCCGGCAACTCACTCTCCGGAGCCTCGGGTGGCGCCTCCTCTCGGTCCGCCTGTTGACGTGGTCCCTCCCCGATGGGTTGATCGGGGAGCATTCGCTGCCGGAGCTGGTCGATATGCCTCTTCCGCACCTGCCCGCACTCCGTGGACACCTCGTACATGACGGTGCCCAAGGGACGGATGATGCGGCCCGCAATCCATTCCGGGCCCCTGCCGAAGTTTCGGGCAAAGACGGGTTCCTCCGGGAAGAACCCGCGCGGTGCTTCCCTCTGCTTGGAGTCTTTCCGCTGGCCCAGGGCCCTGTCGGGGTGCAAGCGGTCAAGTAGGATCGTGGGCTTCCGGCCCATTAACAGTTCTGCCGGGCAGCGGCCGCTTACCGGATTAGGCGTTGTCCTCTGCGCCAGGAGGAACCGGGCAATGCGGCATTGCTAACCGGCTGAGGGCCTCCTTCGCGGTCCTGACCATGCGCTCTGCTTGGCCGTTGGTCGCTGGATGAAAGGGGGCCGTCCTGATGTGCTGTATCAGGTTGCCGCTGAGGAACTGCTGGAATTCCTCAGAAGTAAACGCCGTCCCGTTGTCCGAGACAATGGTATCGGGCAGGCTGTGGGTGGTGAAAATCCTTCTGAGTGCGTGGATGGTTGCCTTTGTGGATGTCGCGGAGACGGGACTGATCTCCAGCCATTTCGTGTAGGAGTCCACCGTCACCAAAAACAACAGTCCATGAAATGGTCCGGCAAAGTCTATGTGGAGCCGAGACCACGACGTGCGGTTGGATTCCCATGCGTGGTGCGGTGCCCCAGGTGGGCTGGGTTGAACGGCTTGACAGGCTTGGCACCCTTTCACCCACAATTCTGTCGAAGGGCGGCAGCAGCCCAAGCCCTGAAGTAGTCGCCATTGTGTACGTCGGAGCTGGTGGGAGAGAAGCGTCCCCTCCGGCTGGATCGCTCATCGGATCGCTGCGGATCGCGTCCTCTCATTCCCTCTCGATGGCTCGGCTCAGTTGCGGCTGAATCCCACCTTCGTCGCCACTATTGTGTAGTGGGTTGCTGCATGGATGAACGACAGAGACTGGCGTAGTGCATAGCACCCTTTATTTGGTACACAACAAAGACAACCAACAACGGCCGACAAGACAACTATAT